GTGACTTTATTATCTTTATTTACTAAATATTTTTAATTAATTAAATTCATACCTGATTTTTGATTTTTCAAACTTACGTTACTTTTGAATTGAGGTAAAGAATACACCTTAGATATGAATTTTTTCCTTGATTAAATAAGTCAAATCCAATTAAACAACCGATGTTAAGTCTACCAATGTGGGACCCCTCTGTCTCTCGCATACCACATAATTTATAGATATAACAATATTGAAAGGAAACAAGATTATTTAAGTGACTTTAAATTAATCATAAATGTCTCTATTTACTTTGTTATTGTTTGTGGGACACTCCCGAATTAATTATGATATATAGATGGTTATAGATCTATGTGTGAGTAGGATCATTGTCACATTGTTTAATCTGTAGAAATGCATTCAAAGGTTATTGGACAATGTGACAATGATTCCTTTATCACATAAAATCATCTCCTTCATGACTTATTTGGTAAAGTGAAAATTAGGTGTTATGAATGTAAAAAAATTGATACTACCCCTAACCCCTTGGCAGCTCTTGGGTCCAATCATAGTATCCAATGTAAGTTGCACCCCAAACCAAAATGAGTGAAGAAACCATGGACACCCCACCTCAACCGACCACGTCCCCACCCCAAAGGGAAAAGAAGGAGAAAAAAAGCATGTTACATTTTTTATAAAACCAAGCCGGGTCAGTCCACCTACTTGATTATTGATCACATGTAAGCAAGAAAAAGAGATTGTGGGTCCCAATAGTGGACAAAGAGGATTTAGCCATTACTATTACTTGGTTCGCATTATTTAAAAACTCATTTTTAATCTCACATTATATTAGTAAAATAGCTTTATACATAAATTCAAATATCTTTTTATCTTTTAATCTCACATTCTTTATAAAAAACCTATTTCAAAATTTATTTTTCTAAAAAAAGCAGCTCAAATTCATGAGATGGGATGGGATTTCTCATATTGACATTTACTAGTTATCCGAGCCTCATCACATAATTCAACGGACAAAAACACGTGCCCGGTGCCCCATACCCGACTCATCCTACACCTTGTGGACCCAAGTAGGGGGGTCAATGAGCCGAGCTGACATTTTTTGCTCGGGTTCGACTTGAGTAAAAATGATGGGAAAAATTCAAAAATAAGGTGTATTCTTTACACCAATTCAAAAATCAGGTATATAGTTTGAAAATTCAAAA